CGCCCTCTCTCCCTCTCACCTCCGCCCTCTCTCCCTCACCTCTTAATGACAGACATGTTCTCCTGTATGCGCCATAAATACGTACAATATTGTGTGGACTGTGAAAGATATTCGTAAAGTGCTTAAGTTTCTAACAAATCCCAAGGCCCAAGAACACTACCCGTCAAGCCACTATCATGTAGAAGGTTCCAATCAAAACAATTTAAGGAATTCTTAGTACTAATAAACATTCCTGATTGGCCAAAATCATCAAGTCTGATTTGTAAATAATACTAAAATAACAGTATGAATATTTATGTGCGTTTTATTCATTCTGTCACAGAGGCATTATTAAATTACAAAGTTTACCATTTATATATAATTTATGTACGAGTTTGTTGCAAATTTTAATACGAGCATATATCACAGGACAAACAAAATTGCAACTTTAATCGTACAAATTTTATATAGAAAAAATACGAATTAACATGATTTTTTTTGAGATATATACAAGAGTTGTTACATTCTTGTACAGCCACTAGTACGCGTAGCGTTTCGGGCAGGTCCCTGGAATACGATCCCCGCCGCGAAGAATCGTTGTTACAACCAAGTACACATTTTACTGTTGAGTTAAACAGAGGCTACAGTTAAGGATTTGCGCCCAGTAAATCCTCCCCGGCCAGGATACGAACCCATGACAAAGCGCTCGCTGAACGCCAGGCGAGTGTCTTACCACTACACCACGGAGACTTTTTATAAATAATACAGCAATACTATCTGCTTTTCTTTGACTTCATATTTATTAATAGTATTTGTGTATGTCACAGAAGAGGACCAAGTGTGTTTAATTACTGGACGACCAGGAGTCTGACACGACCAGGTGCCTAGACGACCAGGAGTCTGTGACACGACCAGGTGCCTAGACGACCAGGAGTCTGTGAAACGACCAGGTGCCTAGACGACCAGGAGTCTGTGACACGAACAGGAGTCTCTGACACGACCAGGTGCCTAGACGACCAGGAGTCTGTGACAGGAGCAGCTAACTGGACAAGCAACAGTCAGAAACAGCAGGTAACTGAGCAGTCAGTGATTAATAGGAGCAGTTAACTGGACAAGCAACAGTCAGTAACAGGAGCAGTTAACTGGACAAGTAACAGTCAGTAACAGGAGCAGTTAACTGGACAAGTAACAGTCAGTAACAGAAGCAGGTAACTGGACAATCAGCAGCCATCTGTAACATGAACAGGAAGCATAACACACACACTTTCCTCTATGCATACTGATGTTAAGAAATCTCTGAAATTGACATTTCATTACTGAGAGTCTCTGACAACTTACTGAGAGTCTTTGTAAACCTACTGAGAGTCTCTGACAACTTACTGAGAGTCTTTGTAAACTTACTGAGAGTCTCTAACAACTTACTGAGAGTCTTTGTAAACTTACTGAGAGTCTTTGTAAACTTACTGAGAGTCTCTAACAACTTACTGAGAGTCTTTGTAAACTTACTGAGAGTCTCTGACAACAGACTCCAGCATAAATCTCCTCTGAGACACGAATCTCACGAAATCGTAGATATACAACACCGCCAAACAGCAAGGCGCCCTTGTACCAAGGACACACCTTCCCTTAGTCCTCAGGAACCAACAGTCAAAGACTTTAGCAAGTCTATTTATTCTTCAAACCTCTGAGCAAGACTTACTTTCTCGGCTTGAATGCCTACAGATCAAACCGGCAAGGACAAGGACTAGTGGCATAACAGTGGGTGTGTGTGCTTCTCCTCTCATGGGGCCAAGAGGTGTTTCACAAACCATAAAACAGCTGCACTTTGCGTGAATGGTAAGACAATGATCCATTAGACCGTTCTCTCTCTCTCTCGATTTGCCACAACGTACAAAATCCAACGTCCTAACCTATCCAGCGTCGTATGAACGCAAGCCACCCACCTCATCTAGCCTAACCAATACATAGAAAACGTGAATATTTGTGTAGGCCGCTAAATATCAAAGCACGATGCATTTGGTACGTTGGTTACCGGAACGTACTGTAACCACGGTGGTCGGGCTTGGTACGGTGGTCGGGCTTGGTACGGTGGTCGGGCTTGGTACGGGGGGCCGGGCTTGATACGGTCGCCGGGCTTGGTACGGGGTGCCGGGATTGGTACGGGGGGGCCGGGCTTGGTACGGGGGGCCGGGCTTGGAACGGGGGGCCGGGCTTGGTACCGGGGGCCGGGCTTGGTACGGGGGGCCGGGCTTGGTACGGGGGGCCGGGCTTGGTACGGGGGGCCGGGCTTGGTACGGGGGGCCGGGCTTGGTACGGGGGGCCGGGCTTGGTACGGGGGGACGGGCTTGGTACGGGGGGCCGGGCTTGGTACGGGGGGGCCGGGCTTGGTACGGGGGGGCCGGGCTTGGTACGGGGGGGGCCGGGCTTGGTACGGGGGGCCGGGCTTGGTACGGGGGGCCGGGCTTGGTACGGGGGGCCGGGCTTGGTACGGGGGGCCGGGCTTGGTACTGGGGGGCCGGGCTTGGTACGGGGGGCCGGGCTTGGTACGGGGGGCCGGGCTTGGTACGGGGGGCCGGGCTTGGTACGGGGGGCCGGGCTTGGTACGGGGGGCCGGGCTTGGTACGGGGGGCCGGGCTTGGGGAGTAGAAGAACTCCCAGAACCCCATCCAGCAGGTAACGTGGTTGAGAGGACAGGTTTCATCCCACGGGGAGAGGGGAGTTTACGGTGTATGTTTTAATACATGTCATCACCAGGGGAGAGATCGCCACTCTGGCGAGGGGAACATCGGACAAGTACCAGGGATTAAAATATAACTTCACAGGAGTTTTTTTAAAGGATTTTAATTCGTTCCACTAGATGGCTGTAAGGTGAGCGTCAGTGGTTGTGGTGTCTGATCTTGCCGGGTGGTGTCCGATCTTGCCGGGTGGTGTCCGATCTTGCCGGGTGGTGTCCGATCTTGCCGGGTGGTGTCCGATCTTGCCGGGTGGTGTCCGATCTTGCCAGCTGGTGTCCGAACTTGCCAGCCGGTGTCCGATCTTGCCAGCTGGTGTCCGATCTTGCCAGCTGGTGTCCGATCTTGCCAGCTGGTGTCCGATCTTGCCAGCTGGTGTCCGATCTTGCCAGCTGGTGTCCGATCTTGCCGGGTGGTGTCCGATCTTGCCGGGTGGTGTCCGATCTTGCCGGGTGGTGTCCGATCTTGCCGGGTGGTGTCCGATCTTGTCGGGTGGTGTCCGATCTTGCCGGCTGGTGTCCGATCTTGCCGGCTGGTGTCCGATCTTGCCGGCTGGTGTCCGATCTTGCCGGCTGGTGTCCGATCTTGCCGGGTGGTGTCCGATCTTGTTAGGGGGGAGTCCGATCTTGCCGGGTGGTGTCCGATCTTGTCAGGGGGTGTCCGATCTTGCCGGGTGGTGTCCGATCTTGCCGGGTGGTGTCCAATCTTGTTAGGGGGAGTCCGATCTTGCCGGGTGGTGTCCGATCTTGCCGGGTGGTGTCCGCTCTTGTCGGGTGGTGTCCGATCTTGCCGGCTGGTGTCCGATCTTGCCGGCTGGTGTCCGATCTTGCCGGCTGGTGTCCGATCTTGCCGGCTGGTGTCCGACCTTGCCGGGTGGTGTCCGACCTTGCCGGGTGGTGTCCGATCTTGCCGGGTGGTGTCCGATCTTGCCGGGTGGTGTCCGATCTTGCCGGGTGGTGTCCGATCTTGCCGGGTGGTGTCCGATCTTGCCGGGTGGTGTCCGATCTTGTTAGGGGGAGTCCGATCTTGCCGGGTGGTGTCCGATCTTGCCGGGTGGTGTCCGATCTTGCCGGGTGGTGTCCGATCTTGCCGGGTGGTGTCCGATCTTGCCGGGTGGTGTCCGATCTTGCCGGCTGGTGTCCGATCTTGCCGGGTGGTGTCCGATCTTGCCGGGTGGTGTCCGATCTTGTCAGGGGGTGTCCGATCTTGCCGGGTGGTGTCCGATCTTGCCGGGTGGTGTCCGATCTTGCCGGGTGGTGTCCGATCTTGCCGGGTGGTGTCCGATCTTGCCGGGTGGTGTCCGATCTTGTCAGGGGGTGTCCGATCTTGCCTGGTGGTGTCCGATCTTGCCGGGTGGTGTCCGATCTTGCCGGGTGGTGTCCGATCTTGCCGGCTGGTGTCCGATCTTGCCGGCTGGTGTCCGATCTTGCCGGGTGGTGTCCGATCTTGCCGGGTGGTGTCCGATCTTGCCGGGTGGTGTCCGATCTTGTCAGGGGGTGTCCGATCTTGCCGGGTGGTGTCCGATCTTGCCGGGTGGTGTCCGATCTTGTCAGGTGGTGTCCGATCTTGCCGGGTGGTGTCCGATCTTGTCAGGGGGTGTCCGATCTTGCCAGCTGGTCCAGAAAAACACACATTATCAGTTCATCAAAATATATGTCAGGACAAGTCTGGGCTGAGGAGGATCCTCTTGTGGGACCAATATGACAAGTTTGCAAATATAATGAAATATAATGGAGGAAAAGTATTTCCTGAATCCCACATGTGATTAACATATAACTTATTATACATAAAGTTGAAATAAAGCAAGGGGAAGGGAACTATCAGGAGAGAGCGCCAAGCCATCACGACTATATAGCCCTGGGAAGGGGGGTCAGGATAAGGATTTGGGATGGGACGGGGGGGTAGGAATGGTGCCCAACCACTTGGACGGTCGGGGATTGAACGCCAACCTGCAAGTGCACGTGGAATTGGAGATAAATGACTTTACTGAAAGAGGTGTCAGAGGCGTATCTATGCACAGTATTGGTCTTTTGCCGACTATACTCAAGTGGCGAACCGCCACAACGTAATTTAACATTGTTAATCCGCAACCTAATTTAACATTTTTAATTCGAACATCTCAAGCAATAACGGCTGCCTGTAATACCTCTGCCGTCCGCGGAGAACGTTTGGGAGCGCAATGTGATGCTCGGGAATAATTGCATGCGCAAGTAACTGGCATGTGTATAAATACCTTCACTCAGCAGGGGCTCTTGCTAGACATGGCTGTACCAAGTCTGAGACCAGACCCACCACCTGGGCTCACCTGAGTCACACTGAGGGCCACGAAAATATGAGTTGCAATATGTGTATGCAATTAATTGCAATGTGTTTACTCAGAGCCGGCCTCCAAACACATTCACACACATGAGTTTCTGTGCACCGTCTTGATGACTGGGGGCCCCACACCCCTGCTACTCGACCCACACGGTGGATTAACAGTTACTGTAAACTGTTGGTTAAGGATTGACTGACACATTCGACTGGTGTTCCGCGAGAGCTTTGGCCGGGGTTCGTATCCTAGCCGGGAAGGATTTAGGAAGGCGCCAATCCTTAAATGTAGCCTCTGTTCACCGAGCAGTTTTTTTTTTTTTTTATTATTATTTTCTACCAAAGACGTGGCCACACATCACCCAGCAGTGAATGGGGTACCTGCTTGTTAAACGATTTGGCGGGTCGTATTCCGGGGAACAATTAGGATTAAGTACTTGCCTGAAATGCTATGCGTACTAGTGGCTGTACAAGAATGTAACAACTCTTGTATAAATAAAATAAATAAAAATAAATAAAAAGATATCACCATTGGTGGAGTCAGATCAACCGACGACCTTTCTGGCTACCTGCTATGTTCTCCAGCCAAAGTTATGGCGGCAGAATCCACCCATGATTATAGAGGCGCGAGGCATAAACTGCCAGCTGCCAGTATAATCAAAGGTCATATCTCACCCCACACACAACCTCTGAGCTGACACCGTGATCACCGATATCGTAGACGCTCAACTTGAAGTACTTGTGTCCTGAGGTGAGAGTGATGTACCAGTGTGTAGACTGCAGCCATGGGGCACACGTCTAACTGAGAGACCATCATTGTCTCATAGTGGTGTTGGCAGGGGTGGTGGGGGTGGTGGTGGTGGCAGGGAGGGTGGTGGTGGTGTTGGCAGGGAGGGGGTGGTGGTGGCAGGGAGGGGGGTGGTGGTGGCAGGGAGGGGGGTGGTGGTGGCAGGGAGGGGGGTGGTGGTGGCAGGGAGGGGGGTGGTGGTGGCAGGGAGGGTGGTGGTGGCAGGGAGGAGGGTGGTGGTAGGGATAGTGGTGGTGGCAGGAATGGTGGTGGTGGTGACAGGGAATGTGATGGTGGTGGTGGCAGGGAGGGGGTGGTGGCAGGGATGGTGGTGATGGTGGCAGGGAGGGTGGTGGTGGTGGCAGGGAGGAGGGTGGTGGCAGGGAGGGGGTGTTGGCAGGGAGGGTGGTGGTGGCAGGGAGGGTGGTGGTGGTGGCAGGGAGGGTGGTGGTGGTGGCAGGGAGGAGGGGTGGTGGCCGCGAGGGAGGTGGTGGCCGCGAGGGGGTGGAGGCAGGGAGGAGGGTGGTGGCAGGGAGGTTATCTTGAGGTTATCTTGAGATGATTTCGGGGCTTTTTTAGTGTCCCCGCGGCCCGGTCCTCGACCAGGCCCCCACCCCCACTGACAGCAGCCCGTGACAGCTGACTAACTCCCAGGTACCTATTTACTGCTAGGTAACAGGGGCATTCAGGGTGAAAGAAACTTTGCCCATTTGTTTCTGCCTCGTGCGGGAATCGAACCCGCGCCACAGAATTACGAGTCCTGCGCGCTATCCACCAGGCTACGAGGCCTACGAGGCGAGGAAGGGGGGAGGTGGTGGCAGAGAGGGGGGTGGTGGTGGCAGGGAGGGGGGTGGTGGTGGCAGAGAGGGTGGTGGTGGTGGCAGGGAGGAGGGGTGGTGGCAGGGAGGAGGGGTGGTGGCAGGGAGGAGGGGTGGTGGCCGGCAGGGGGGGTGGTGGTCGGGAGGGGGGGGGTGGCAGGGATGGAGGTGGTGGCCGGGAGGGGATGGTGGCAGGGAGGAGGGGTAGTGGCAGGGAAGGAGGTGGTGGCCGCGAGGGAGGTGGTGGCAGGGAGGAGGGGTGGTGGCAGGGAGGAGTTGGTGGGGGTGGTGGCAGGTAGGGGGGTGGTGGCAGGGAGGAGGGGTGGTGGCAGGTAGGGGGGTGGTGGCCGGGAGGGGGTGGTGGCAGGGAGGAGGGGTGGTGGCAGGGAGGAGGGGTGGTGGCAGGGAGGGGGTGGTGGCAGGGAGGAGGGGGGTGGTGGCAGGGAGGGAGGGGTGGTGGCAGGGAGGGGGGTGGTGGCAGGGAGGGGGTGGTGGCAGGGAGGAGGGGGTGGTGGCAGGGAGGGAGGTGGTGGCCGCGAAGGAGGTGGTGGTGGGAAGGAGGGGTGGTGGCAGGGAGGAGGGGTGGTGGCAGAGGAGGGAGGGGTGGTGGCAGGAAGGAGGGGTGGTGGCAGGGAGGGGGGGGTGGTGGCAGGGAGGAGGGGTGGTGGTAGGGAGGAGGGGTGGTGGCAGGGAGGAGGGGTGGTGGCAGGGAGGGGGGTGGTGGCAGGGAGGAGGGGTGGTGGCAGGGAGGGAGGTGGTGGCCGCGAAGGAGGTGGTGGCAGGAAGGAGGGGTGGTGGCAGGAAGGAGGGGTGGTGGCAGGAAGGGGGGTGGTGGCAGGAAGGAGGGGTGGTGGCAGGGAGGGGAGGGGTGGTGGTGGGAGGAGGGGGGTGGTAGGGAGGAGGGGTGGTGGCAGGGAGGAGGGGTGGTGGCAGGGAGGGGGGTGGTGGCAGGGAGGAGGGGTGGTGGCCGGGAGGGGGGGTGGCAGGGAGGAGGGGTGGTGGAAGGGAGGAGGGGTGGTGGCAGGGCGGAGATGTGGTGGCCGGGAGGGAGGGTGGTGGCCGGGAGGGTGGTGGCAGGGAGGGGAGGGGTGGTGGCAGGGAGGAGGGGTGGTGGCAGGGAGGGTGGTGGTGATGACAAGGAGGGTGGTGGTGGTGGCAGGGAGGGTGGTGGTGGTGGCAGGGAGGGGGGTGGTGGTGGCAGGGAGGGGGGTGGTGGTGGCAGGGAGGGGGGTGGTGGTGGCAGGGAGGGTGGTGGTGGTGGCAGGGAGGGGGGTGGTGGTGGCAGGGAGGGGGGTGGTAGTGGCAGGGAGGGGGGTGGTGGTGGCAGGGAGGGTGGTGGTGGTGGCAGGGAGGGGGGTGGTAGTGGCAGGGAGGGGGGTGGTAGTGGCAGGGAGGGTGGTGGTGGTGGCAGGGAGGGTGGTGGTTGTGGCAGGGAGGGGGGGGTGGTGGTGGCAGGGAGGGGGGTGGTGGTGGCAGGGAGGGTGGTGGTGGTGGCAGGGAGGGGGGTGGTGGTGGCAGGGAGGGTGGTGGTTGTGGCAGGGAGGGTGGTGGTTGTGGCAGGGAGGGGGTGGTGGTGGCAGGAGAGGGGGTGGTGGTGGCAGGGAGGGTGGTGGTGGTGGCAGGGAGGGGGGTGGTGGTGGCAGGGAGGGGGGTGGTGGTGGCAGGGAGGGTGGTGGTGGTGGCAGGGAGGGTGGTGGTGGTGGCAGGGAGGGTGGTGGTGGTGGCAGGGAGGGTGGTGGTGGTGGCAGGGAGGGGGTGGTGGTGGCAGGGAGGGGGGTGGTGGTGGCAGGGAGGGTGGTGGTGGTGGCAGGGAGGGGGGTGGTGGCAGCGCTGGGGTACAGAGGGCAGCGGAAGCAATCCGCCTAAAAGCGATCATCACTTTAACATAATGACGCCTCGCTAAGTGACAACAGAATCGTAAATAATTGGTATAGGGTGCATAATATTATTACATCATCGTGTGTGTCTTTACTATTTGTGGCTGCAGAATGGAGCTATTAGCTCTTCGATCCCGCCTTCCTAACCAATCTATTTTTCCTCTATTATGTCTACTACATATATTTCTCTCCAACACACGCACGCACGCACGCACGCACACACACACATCCCCAGGAAGCAGCCCTTAGGAGCTGTCTAACTTACAGGTACCTGTTTACTGCTAGGTGAACAGGGGGCATCAGGGTGAAAGATTGCCCATTTGTTTCCGCCTCCGCCGGGAATCGAACCCAGGCCATTAGGACTACGACCCCCGAGCTATTGTGAGGTCTCATCCCTCACAGTAGCTCTCTGCTTCCTATTTCTTAGGTACTCCCTTATTCACTAGAGCATCCTACCAGTTACTCCTGACTGTTTCTCCAGCTTATGTACCAGTCTCTTATTGGATACTGTGTCAAAGGGTTTCTGATAGTCCAAGAAAATGCAGGCTGCCCACCCTTCCCTTTTTTGCTAAATCTTTGTCACCTGGTCATAAAATTTTATTAAACCTGCGAGGCAAGATTTGCCCTCCCTGAACCCATGTTGGTGGTGTGTCACGAAGTCCCTTCTCTCCAGATGTGCTACTAGGTGTTCTCTCGTGATCTCCATCACCTTGCATGGTATACAAGTGTCGGAAATTCCGACATTAACATAATAAGATTACCAACACCCAATAAAACCAGCGAATATGGTTATACTAGTTACATTCGTTAGTCGTAAACGGATTACAGAAAATGGGATATCCGTGACGTCATCACCTTTTATTCATTTACCACCAAAAGTATTCCTTAAACTACCAGTCTAAGCATAAGAATTAATAAAAAAGTGTTTTCTATGCTTTAACTTTAATGAAATATACCATAAAACGTGAAAGTTTCCTCCTATTGTCAAATAAGTCACAAATCAACCCGTCCTCGACTCGAGTCCATTCCATCCAGCGGTCGACCCCACAGACGCATTCATAAATTTTTACATGTTGTTCTTTCAAAACGAGAATTTTCTCAAATATAAACTAATATTATAATATATTAGCATATTGTTAATATATAGGTATTGGGTAGGTTAGTCGTTTAGGTTCTGTTGGCGATTATTTGTATTTGTAGTACGTGGGTGAAGCATTTACAGCGTTGTGGTTCGAACAAAATTCGTCATTGAAGCACTTGTTCCGGAAGTGTTTGAATGTCATCAGTTGTGAGTCGTGTGTAAACCGTTTTTCATTCATAAACAGGGGGTTTGGCGGGTGAATGGAATCACTTTTGGGTCTTTGGAGGACGGGCTGCAGAAATGAAACCATGTTTTCGGAGCGCCGTGAGCGGCAGAGAGAGGAGCCAGATAGACTGTAAACAAAAGGGCTTCTGAGTTTTAGTTGGGGGCAGAGTTTTGGTTTTGCTACCTGGTGTTCTCTGTGTGGAGCGGGACCGGTGCTTATCACCCTGAGGGACTCCTGGGACTCCCCAATCATCTGCCTGACTGTGCGTTCATTTGCCGTATGACATATTAGTTTCTAGTGATTGGCGTCACTCGTTTCGCGATTTGGCTTGACGTTTCACCTTTCCGGGCTTCGCGAATCACCCTTAACGGGTACGCCGGGGCGCATCCGATCCCACGATCGTCGTCGCCCCTAAATCAACAACAACAACAACAGTACGGCACTGCAAAGATCACAAAACAGATCGCCCCACAGTGATCCAGCCCCAGCAACCTTATCATCAATAACAGGAGGAACTGAGTACCCAACTACACCCCATATCTTTTATTAATTAGTGGCCACTGTTAACTATTAGAAAGGTTAGTTGGTTAGGACACTGAAGCACATCAAGGGTAAGCCTGGTCTCATAAATTAATCAATCTCAATTCATGGATGATACAATCATGAATTACATTGTTATGCATTTGTTACTATGTAAATATCCGGCAGGTAACCTTTGATGAATTGAAGAAATCCCAGAGAGCTTTAACGCGTTCATAACCTGTACAGACGCTTCCCTGCTCTAACAAGGACAACAGAGCCCTCGGTCCACGGATCGCTTGTGGCAAACCTGTGTGATGCTGGAGGATCAGCTCTCACAACCAGTGTGATGCTGGAGGACCAGCTCTCTCACAACCAGTGTGATGCTGGAGGACCAGCTCTCTCACAACCTGTGTGATGCTGGAGGACCAGCTCACTCTCACAACCTGTGTGATGCTGGAGGACCAGCTCACTCTCACAACCTGTGTGATGCTGGAGGACCAGCTCACTCTCACAACCTGTGTGATGCTGGAGGACCAGCTCTCTCACAACCTGTGTGATGCTGGAGGACCAGCGCACTCTCACAACCTGTGTGATGCTGGAGGACCAGCTCACTCTCACAACCTGTGTGATGCTGGAGGACCAGCTCACTCTCACAACCTGTGTGATGCTGGAGGACCAGCTCACTCTCACAACCTGTGTGATGCTGGAGGACCAGCTCACTCTCACAACCTGTGTGATGCTGGAGGACCAGCTCACTCTCACAACCTGTGTGATGCTGGAGGACCAGCTCACTCTCACAACCTGTGTGATGCTGGAGGACCAGCTCACTCTCACAACCTGTGTGATGCTGGAGGACCAGCTCTCTCACAACCAGTGTGATGCTGGAGGACCACCTCTCACAACCACACAGCTCAGACAATTGTTTAACCACTTTGTACTAATCAAGTTTAGAACTAATACTAACTCACTTGAACAGTAGAACATTATTTAGTAGTGTGTTACAATTATCATTTATTTGAGTCATAGACAATGTATACAAGTTTTGTAACTTATTAATATCCACTATTTGCGGTATAAACTATGTATATACATCCCTCAACTTATGATCAGGTAAACATCTAGCGGGATAAACTTTAAAATATACAATCCACTTTGATGTATTAATAAAATAATAAAAAATTCAATAAATTAAAATAATAAATATAAAGTAAAATCAATATATCAAGAAATCAATATTTAAATACAAGAATAAAAAGCAACTAAATGTCTGCTAGGAAATATGCCACAACACGTTAGGGACACTGGGCCTGTCACCTTTTGTGTTACTCACCTATTTGTGCTTGCGGGGGTTGAGCTTTGGCTCTTTGGTCCCGCCTCTCAACCGTCAGTCAACTGGTGTACAGATTCCTGAGCCTACTGGGCTCTATCATATCTACATTTGAAACTGTGTATGGAGTCAGCCTCCACCACATCACTGCCTAGTGCGTTCCATTTATTAACTACTCTGACACTGAAAAAATTCTTTCTGACGTCTCTGTGGCTCATCTGGGTACTAAGTTTCCACCTGTGTCCCCTTGTTCGTGTCCCACCCGTGCTGAAGAGTTTGTCTTTGTCCACACTGTCAATTCCCCTGAGAATTTTGTAGGTGGTTATCATGTCTTCCCTTACTCTTCTGATTTCCAGGGACGTGAGGTTCAGCTCCTTTAGCCTTTCCTCGTAGCTCATACCTCTCAGTTCCAGGACGAGCCTGGTGGCATACTGCTGAAATTTCTCTAACTTTGTTTTGTTTAACTAGGGATGGACTCTAGGCTGGAGTCCACACACACTCTCCTATATTCCTCTGCACACATTTTTCCGCCCTCCCTGCCCCCCCCCCCGCGTCATAAACACGCAGCCTTGATGACGTAATTACTAAGGGCCTCATTAACTCCACCGCAGCTCTTACGACCCCCTTCCCACTCTCCCTTATTCCCTCCTCCCCCCATCCATCCCCCTTTCCCACTCTTCCATCCCTCTTTCCCACTCTCCCAGTCTCCAACCACCTCTCCCTTCCCACTCTCTTTATCCATCTTCCCACTGCTGACATGCACCTCGCCGCCTATCTCCTTCCCACAAGACTGGGTGCTGGGCTGCGGATCTATCAGCCTCTGGATGGTTGTAAGATCCATCACAAGAGTTTACCAACCAGCAAGTATACTTTATCTCAGTAAACTCGTAGTATATTATCGATAAGAGATAATATAGAACCCCCCCCCCCCTGATGTTCCCTTTTCCTTCCCAGTCCCTCTCCCTTACCTTCATCCTCCACTTTCTTACTTCCCCTTTTTCCCTGGTATAACCCTATCCCTCTTCCTTCTCACCATCCATATATTCTCCTTCCAATATTCTTCCCTCGTCTCCCATCTCATTCTCTGTACACCTCACTCGTTTTCTGTTCCACTCCCTCTCCCAACCTTCCCTCACGTAACGTAGCACTGCTGCCTCGTCTCCCCTCATTCTTCCTCCCTGTGCCCCTTTCACACCCTTCCCCTCGTCTTCCATGCCCTCCCAGTAAACTCTCTCTGTCCTCCCCTCCTCTCCTCAGTCTTCCTACCTGTCTCAACCTCCTTTCCAATTTCCTTTGGTGCACTCCTTATGCTTCCCTCCCCTCCTGAACCTCCCCTCCCTTCCTTAACTACCTGCCAGGTTAAGAAAGTGGGGGTGGCAGTTGTGTGCAGGAGCTGCTGCCTTCAAGATGCCTTGATGACCCCCTCAAAGGATTCGAACCCAGGCCGCCAAGGGTCTTCCCATCAACAGCATTGGTACTTTGACCTCTGCCCTGCCTGTGACCTGGCCCATGTCACGTCGGTTGTCCAGTTCCTGCCAAACACGATGCAGCATAACTTGGGTAACAGTTTCCAGTCCGGCAGTGACTCTCTACTGGAGTTTCTCTAGGCTTGCAGGAAGAGCTGCAGGAGGGGAAGGGGATAGACCAGTCCCTTCACATGGCAAGGTGTCAGGTCAGGTGAAGGCAATTTCAACAGAACATTGTCTTCATCACTAGTACGTCCGATCCATCTTCCTGGCAGATTCTCATTGAGGAACGCCAGCAGAGTGAGCTTCCAGTGAGATGGAGCCGCCCCAGCCCTCATGAAAATCGAAGTGTTCATGTTCATTTGGGAGCTTCCAGTAGCTATATACTGCCCTGGTGGGGTACCCGGCAGTGTCTAAATATCCTGGAAACTCCAGTTCCAAATACTGCCCATCTATGAGACTGCAGCCTTTCATATGTGAACTAGAAGATGATAAGACACTAACATTAATGCTAGTGTTCATAATGTGTGTTTTGGTCATGGATATTTCCTGACATGTGTTCGAGCATATTAATTAATATACTCTAACACATGTCAGGAAATATCCATGGCCAAAACACACATCAGAGAGCTAATGAGACTTTGTGACACTCAACTGGCAGAGTGAAGCCAATTACAGGCGATGATATTCTCGTCTTAGTTTTACAAATAATGAAGTAATTAAAGAATTCACAATAGCCAAGACAATCCCATTACAATCTATTGAAGTTGAAACAAATGTGAACTATAAGCTATCTAAAAAATCTTCGCAATGGAAAGTTATATTATTAAACGTAATTCCAACTATTTGGAGCATTGACTAGAACACAACACAACAATGAACATCACCTGAGAAAAAAAAAAGACACTGAATGTTCAAACTTCAACACACTCCAAAGACACATTACATGCAGGAGTTTACTAAACATTCATATAATATTTCTCTGAGAAAGACAGGACAAAAAAAAGTTTGACTGTGAAAGCACATCACTGACCACCAAGTAGAAGACAAAAGAAAGTAGAAGACAAACAAAAGTAAAATAAACGTAGAAGACTAATTTGTCTTCTACTTTTATCTTTACTTTCGTTTGTCTTCTACTTTCGTTTGTCTTCTACATTTATCTTTACTTTCGTTTGTCTTCTACATTTATCTTTACTTTCGTTTGTCTTATACTTTCCTTTGTCTTCTACATCTATCTTTGCTTTCGTTTGTCTTCTACTTTCCTTTGTCTTCTACGTTTAATTTTACTTTCGTTTGTCTTCTACTTTCTTTAGTCTTTTACTTTAATTTGTCTATAAAACCTATAAAAACTGCCTAAGGAAATAACAGGTAAAGTAGGGAGAAAGACGTTAAATTTTCTTTTAAACAAATTAGAAAGTGTCAGTAAATCATACAAAATACAGGACGAGTGTAGTACAAAGCTGGGACCCACAGGATATGGTCATCCCACTGTTGTAATTTATCCTCACAGAAGACAGACATGAATACAACCCACAATATTGTGTCATCTTTTTGCAAAAGGTACGAAAATAAGCATTAAAAACTGTCCCGGATGAAAGACAAAAAAATGTATGATCAGACATCAACAAAGTTTCCAGATGGTGACAAAAAACAATGCGATGCTCAGCGGTGACAAACTCCCTTGACGTTGGTATATGGGAAACTGAAAATGGTGAAGGGAGTACAGGATACACGATTCAGTCAGGTCTCATCAAAGAAGAGGAGAGACCAAGCCAAAGTCCTTAGAATTACAATGTCAGAAGATCCAACGTTTAGAGCGCACAACCAATCAATAACACACAGTAGGGCTACATAATGAGAACATCCAGAACAATGAAAGTATCACCAATGAGGGTACTCTTCAAGGCACTGGTGCTATGTGGAATGGATTATAATCATCTTCGCATCCACTTTCAAGGCATATTTGAGACACCACCTCTAAACAATATTCAGAGATCTTATGGTGCCTGCAATCTCTCCTGCAGAGTGCCTGCAGCGACTCAGTGGCACGCTTCAACTTTTCGAACCCCCCTGAAAACATTCAAATTCTTCTCGGTGAACAGGAGACGGATGTTATCTCAGCATAAACACTTGGAAGATACTGGACGGTCAGGATCCAAACCCATGCAATGTAATTACAATATACTGGAGTTAAGAGATACGGTGGAAAGTTAAAAATACATGAAAAGTCTAGGCGTCGAGGGAGCACAACAGAGGGAAGCACAATAAAGGAGAGCACAACAGAGAATACAACAGGGCAGCACAACAGAGGGGAGCACAAGTAAGAGGAAGTGTACAACAGACAGGAGTACAATAGAGGAGAGTACTACCTCCGTGGGAGAAGTACCATTTCTTATGGCGTTACAGAATTAGTCTGGACGTGATGACTGAGCCTGAACGTGATGACTGAACCTGGACGTGATGACTGAACCTGGACGTGATGACTGAACCTGGACGTGATGACTGAACCTGGACGTGATGACTAAACCTGGACGTGATGACTAAACCTGGACGTGATAACTGAGCCTGGACGTGATGACTGAACCTGGACGTAATGACTGAACCTGGACGTGATGACTGAACCTGGACGTGATGACTGAACCTGGACGTGATGACTGAGCCTGGACGTGATGACTGAACCTGGACGTGATGACTAAACCTGGACGTGATGACTGAACCTGGACGTGATGACTGAACCTGGACGTGATGACTGAACCTGGACGTGATGACTAAACCTGGACGTGATGACTAAACCTGGACGTGATAACTGAGCCTGGACGTGATGACTGAACCTGGACGTAATGACTGAACCTGGACGTGATGACTGAACCTGGACGTGATGACCGAGCCTGGACGTAATGACTGAGCCTGGACGTGATGACTGAGCCTGTGGCCGCTAGAGACAAACAGCCCAACAGAAGAGGCCATCACCAGGAGAGGTGGGAGAGGCCGGCCTGTGAGGGTACAAGAGCCCTTGACAGGGAAGGTGGACTGAGGGGGAGGACAACAGATCCTTAACTGTTCACCCAGGAGAAGATGGCGACGTGGTGAGTGGTGGTGGTCCAGGTAGTGGAACTATAGTGAGGTGAGCTGTGTAAAAGGAAGAGCTGCTAACGTGAGCTGGAACACCTGCTAACATGAGCTGGAACACCTGCTAACATGAGCTGGAACACCTGCTAACATGAGCTGGAACACCAGCTAACATGAGCTGGAACACCTGCTAACGTGAGCTGGAACACCTGCTAACATGAGCTGGAACACCAGCTAACATGAGCTGGAACACCTGCTAACATGAGCTGGAACACCAGCTAACATGAGCTGGAACACCTGCTAACATGAGCTGGAACACCAGCTAACATGAGCTGGAACACCTGCTAACATGAGCTGGAACACCAGCTAACATGAGCTGGAACACACCGAAGTCCTCCACAGATATTCTTGATTCTCTCCCTGTCTTCCTTCCTCCCTTGGCTATACCTCCCTTCCTGACCCCTCCTACCTATCTCCCTGCCCTTCCCTAACCCCCAACCCACTCTCCCATACCTTCCTCCCTGCCCTCTTCTCTACCTTACTCCCTGCTGTCCTCCCTGCCCCCCACCCTAGCATCCCCCTCCATGGCTCCCTCCACATCCCTATCTCCCTCCCTACCTTCTTTCCCCGTCCTGCCTTTCCTCCCTGATCCCCCATCTATTATTCCCCTCCGCGTCCTTCATTTTTCCCTTCTTATTCCCTCCTCCCTCCCTCCCTCCCTATCCCATTTAGTCTGCTGTAATCCCCCCTTACCTCTCCGTCTTACCCTCTCCTGGCTCCTCCCCTCGCGCGCTCCCCTCAACACGTGTTTACCCTCCTACTCTTCTCCATTCTCCTACCCTCTCTTACCTTCTTCACATGAACCTACCTATCTATTTCCCCTCTTGGTCCTGTCTATAACAACCTTAGGGCGGTTGTCCTGTCTAAGTGCAAGCGATGTGTCTCAATGTAATTCCCTGTCAAATTTTGATGGTAATTATCTGTCAACGATTTTGGACGTAATTCCCTGTCAAGTTTTGATGGTAATTATCTGTCAACGATTTTGGACGTAATTCCCTGTCAAGTTTTGATGGTAATTATCTGTCAGCGATTTTGGACGTAATTCCCTGTCAAGTTTTGATGGTAATTATCTGTCAACGATTTTGGACGTAATTCCCTGTCAAGTTTTGATGGTAATTATCTGTCAGCGATTTTGGACGTAATTCCCTGTCAGATTTTTTAACGTAATTCAGATTTTGAACGTAATTCCTTGTCAGTTATCGAACGAAATTCTGTCAGATTCTCTCATCTTGTGGGGTTCCAAGCT